AAATGACTGCAAAATGTAAAAGATACGTAGAGGTTTTAAGGGAACACATTTTACTTTCCATATTCAAGTTTCAAGCTAAATTGAAGCAAGATTTGTGTTACTTTCATTCTGAGTAGCTGCAGTTTCCAGCAGCAGTCAAATGATATTTGTGCAGAGCTGTTGCTACCAGCTGGAGGTGAGCAGTATTGCTGAGTAGTTGCCAGCTCAGAAGGCTCAGATTTGCAGATATCTTTGTGAGACACAAAGCACTAGGGAAGTTCATCTTAGAAGCAGTTTAGTGTTGTTTTACTGATAGTGATACTATGGCTGTATTTACTTTAACATTAAATCAAAATGTATCGCATTCTGATATACTTCCTAAAATGTAAAAGATAACTTTGTCGTATAATTTAAATAAAAAATACTAATTCTGGATAACCCAAGCTATGGAAAATGTATTTATATGTATTTATATAAATAACTGGGATTAATAATATGGAAAATTGAGGTAGGAATATATTAGTATTGTTTTCTGTAGTGAAAATATGAATGATTTAAGTTTAAATACAATGACTGGAGATTATTTTTTTCAAGTGAACAATATATATGGCATTTATGTTGACTTCAGGTATTTATCATATTTTGAAATGAAGATGCCTAATTGTTCACAGATCATCTTTGATTTGGATGTGACACGTCTGTCTGGTTCTTTATTGAATTGTCTTTCATCTGCCATGTTTGACATCACTTGCTGTGTAATTCTGCACTCTTCAGGCAAGTGAGAGAATTTTTTTGTGTGATAGTGCAAGTTTTTCTAGAGGTGACAGAAATGCTAGCTGCCAGAAATTGGAATAGTGCTGCATCTGTCTGAGACTTAGTCTTTGGGAAAAACAGGAAAAATAAAATGTGGGTATAATTTTAATGCTTAACAATTCAATAAATTTGGAAATTTAGGGTCTGATTTTGGCAGGAAAGAAATGTGTAATTTTTGTATTTTCAGGGTTATTTTCACCCCCTTAGACCCTGCTTCTATTTCCCCTTTTACTTTGTGCATGCATCATGTATCTGTGAGTGCACTACATGTGTACTTGCAAAAATGCACTCAGACAAGCCATGGAAGTTCCAAAAATCTTCTTAAAACCAAAATGGCACAGAACTGCTCAGTCTTTTTCCTTGTCTTGGAAACAGAGTAATTCTGCAATAATTCTTCTGAAAGTCAGATCTGATTTGTTTCATGATGACTTGAATTTATTATGCTTTATTCATTTTTGAAAAAGATCATATTTGGGATTTTTCAGAGTGCGGGTAACTTGCTTTCTACAAGTATATGTAGAAAGCAGCTTCATGTTTGTTGAGTCATACATAGTATGGCTTGATGTGCCTTTGAAAGTAATGAGTTGCTTCACAGAGAAAGACTGAAATGTTCAGGGAATGGTTACAACTTTTATAAGCACTGCAGCATAAATGCAAAGCATATATATAAGCTTATTTTTAAAAATTCAGTATTTATGTGCATCTTCGTATCTTGAACATACTCTTCTCTTAAGGGGTGGAGGGGATTGTAGCTCTGAATGCCACCTGCAGCTCTCACATATGAGGGCAACCAGAAGGGGAAGACAAAACAGTTCATCGAGGAAAGGTAGCAAAGGTCAGCATATACTTTATTTACTATGACATTTCAAATCAATAATAAAAAAAAATCACAGGATGGATGAGGTTTGCAGTGACTTCTGGAGACAGATCAGTCAAACCCCTTGCTCTGAGCAAGATTGCTCAGGACAAAATCAGAGCAGTTTTCAGGGGTCTTCAGAGACACACCTCGGCAACCTATTCCAGTGTTTGGACAGCATAAAGTGTCTCATTCCTCATACCAAAATTGGCCAGATAGAAACATTCTTCTAACACAGTTTTGAGTATTAGAAATCAGGCATTCATCCTCTCAGTGATTAGCATTTTGCTGGTCACTCAGAGAATCCTTCCTGTAATCAAGTGCCCTGAACGTCACGTAAACAGAGCTTTTATCATAAACAATGATTACATATTCATCACCTATCCCTGATTATGTAATGTATATGTATTACTGTATTTTACATACTACACCTCTTGTCAAAGTCCTTATATGGTCCTTCTCAGGTCTTCTTTGGTGGTCTTCAGTGTCAGGTGTTCTTTTTAGGTGGCTTTTCCTCAACCCCAGCTTTTGAGTTAGCACAGTATTGTTCTGCTTTGCCAGCCTTGCAGAGCTGAGCTGGCATCCTGCTTGCGTTTTGCACAGGTCCTGTTTGCCTAAGTTACATCCTTTATCTATTTCTCCAACGTTGTGCTGTTCTGTTTGACTGTCCTTATGAGAGTAATATGCTGTTCTGTTCCACTGTTTTTATCAAGTCTCCCCTTCTTTTGAGACTAAGTTCCTTAAGGGCGCTTGTCCATAAACATCTATATTTCACTTTATAGTGTAAGACATTACAACAGCTGAATCACTGCAAATTAAAACACACAGAGCAATTACTATGGTGACAATTACGAACATGTTTTAAAGTCCAGATGGGTAACCATGAAGTAAGTTTGATCCAGATTTCTTCAGATCCCCAGGAGGTGTCATCTCGACCTGTGCATTGTCAAATTTGTCTTTGTTTCCAGATTTCCTGGGCATCTGTAGACACGCTACCATTTTGATCAACGTATACAGAGCAACTGGTGTTAATGACAGTGCATACTTCTTGTGATGTCAAGAGAAGATCTAGTGCCATTTGTTTTTGTAAAGTGACACGGGACAAACTCTTAACTTTTTTCTGCAGTGACATCTATTGTATGATTTTCTCTATATATTTTATGGTAGCAGAAAAACGTCCACTATTGTCTTTTCTAATTCACTTGCTCCTAGCCAGGCTAAAAACCACCATACAAAGCTATAAAATTTAGTTGGTCACTCAGTTACAGCATTTAACGTGTATTTTGTACACTCCAAATAGCTCCTTATCCATAGTCCTGAGGGCACCTGTTCTTTATCAGTTATTGTTATGTTAGGGACTAAGCTTCGAAAGTACAAATTGCTTTCCAGCCTAGGGGCAACACTTTATGGGCTTTATTCCCACATATCCAATAACATCCTATTCCATTTGGTATCAGCCAAGGATGATTTATTTTGGCCCATATGAAGTGTTTGAGTGCATTGTGTGTGATTTCCAGCAGAAGTCCTGATTTCATCAGTACAATCTAGTGTCCTGTTCCTTTGAGGAGGTTACATCTTTGCATATGCGTACAATCATAAGAGATGTTGGTGGGTACTTGCACACTGACTGGTTTGTCTGCTTCTTGATAAAAGGAAGTGTTCACCCAGTAACTACTATTAGTTTCTTCTGGAACTGGAATTGCTCTAAATGGTTAAATGATTTCATTAAAAAACCTGTTACGCAGACCCATAGAAACAGGTTGAGTCAATACGAAGGATGAAAAGGAGGGTAAAAGTAAGAAACTTACTTCCTTCAGTCCTTGAAAAACTTAAGAGTCTAAATCCCTGTGCTGGCAATTCGTTGTTTGTAGGTGACCTATTGTGTTTGTAAGAAACAACTAATAAACTGGTATGATTGCAGTAGTTGCTTTTTGCAGAAGAGATCATAAGACAGTTTTTAATTTGTGATAAAACAAGGGAGGATAGTGGCATGGGAGAAAGGTGGAGAGAGCAATGTGTAGCAGAACTGGCAAGGAAGCTGTGGTTTCTTTCTTGAAAAATAAGTTTGTAATCTTGAGATATTTCCGTCATGCAATCTTTTTTCTTGCAGAGGACCTGTAATCACATAATAAAATATTAATAGCACTACTCTTAAAAGATTTAGCTTTTAGCTCCTAGCACGAGCATATTTAAATACAGTGTTCAAAGTGTGTAACAGATGAAGTTCTTGTATGTACTGTGAATGTATAATTGATTTGATTTTTCTAGCCTTAAAATTAAATGTGGTGTTCCAAGTGTGTGCTCTCTCCTACTTAGAGAGATATGTTAAAAACTTTTTTTTGCAAAAGCTTGTGTATACTAAGAAATATAATTACTGTACTTTGTTTTTTGGACAGAAATGTGTTTATTGCTCATGTACTCCAGAGGACTGGAGAGTTTCTTGCATTCTGACTTCCTTTATTGTATTTTCTTAGGACACATTCTATACATATAACTAATCTCAGAATATTTGCCCTGGCATACAGAACTACAGATGCATGTAATGTTTTTATGATTATTTTTCTGCCACAGCTTCTCCCAAAACTCTGTGGAAAAGCCCCACATAGCTTGCAAAGTACTACAGTAGAGCACAAAACCTTAATTTATGTATGTTATTCAATGCATACATTATAGCTATTGAATCAACACAGGATTTGAGGATACTGGTAATGACTAGTCCAAATAATGCTATAAGTTCTAACTTTGTGTTTTTCTTACTTATTTTGCTTTAGTGGGCCAGGACTAGATACGAATGTAATTGCAATTGTAATTCATAAAATCATCAAGTAATTTGGGTTGGAAGGGACCTTAAAGACTATCAATTTCCAACTCCTTTGTATCAAATAATTATTTTTCAACCAGTTTGGTTTTTTCGCTGTTTTGGGTTTTTTTTGTTTGTGTTTTTTTGTTAATTTGTGTGTTTTGGTTTGGTTTGGTTTTTTCATTTTGGGTTTTTTTTTGTTTTTGTTTGTGTTTTTTTGTTAATTTGTGTGTTTTGGTTTGGTTTGGTTTTTTCGGTTTGGTTTTTGGTTTTTGTTTTGTTTGTTTTGTTTTGTTTTGTTTTGTTTTGTTTTGTTTTGTTTTGTTTTGTTTTGCTTTTAAAGGAATCTTGGTAATTGTCATACTGATGACACTGTCATACTGAGCTACTACCCAACATCAAGGGGCAGATTCCTTGATGTTGGGTAGTAGCTCTGAGGTGGGGGAATGGGATGTGGCCTTTTCTTAGTTCAGTACTTCAGAAGGTTATATACATATACCTTATATGAAATTTGTAGTAACATTAGCTATTGCCTTTTTTTTTCCTCCCCAGAGAACAAATTCATTTGGAACTAGTAATGCAGATTTCCCCTCTGGGGACCCTGGAATGTACCAGTTGGATGTTACTCTAAGAAGAGGACAGAATCTAGCTGCACGGGACCGTGGAGGTAAGTGAGCTGGTGAACACTGCCTTAATAATTGGGAAGTTGCATGTTCATTTGGTAAATTTATATGTGGGTGTTAAAATTAAAATGCCCTGGGGAACATAACTAGTGACTGGCCACCAGCTGGATGTGACACCATGCAGTCACATGCTCTGGGCCCAGCCATCCAGACAGTTCTTAACCCAGAGGGGAGAGCATCTGCCTAAACCATGGGCTGCCAGATTCTCCAGGGGAATGCTGTGGAAGACAGTAACAAAGGCTTTGCTGAAGTCCAGGTACTCAACCTTTCCACCATCCACCAGGTACACAACCTTTCCATCATTCATAGCCTTTTCATCATCCACCAGGCAGGTCATTTGGTCATGAAATGAAATCAGATTGGTCAAACAGAACCTGCCTTTCTTAAACCGTGTTGGCTGGGCCTGATCCCTTGATTGTCCTGTATGTGCTGTATGATCACACTCAAGAGATCACACTCAATCTGCTCCATAACCTGCCAAGGTACTAAGATCAGGCTGATAGGCCTGTACTTCCCTGGATCCAATTTCCAGCCCTCCTGATGAATGGGCAGCATGTTGGCTAATCCCCAGTCATCTGGGACCTGATGATAAATGAATAACAGACAGCAGCTTGGTGAGCTCTTCCACCAAATCCCTCGGTACTCCTGGGTAAATCCCATCTGGTCCCATAGACTTATGACTGTCCAAATGGCTTCACAGGTCACGAATTCTTGCATTACAGGATCTTTATTCTGCTCCCCACCCCTGTCTACCGGCTCAAGGGCTGCTTTCTCTGAGAATAACTGGTCTTACTGGTATTACTGTTACCGTCTAAGACAAAGAAGGCATTAAGTACCTCAGCCTTTTTCTCTTCCTTGGTGACAGTATTTCCCCCTGCATTCAAAAAAGGATGGAGGTTTTACTTGGCCCTCCTTTTGTTGTTAATATATTTATAAAAATAGTTTTTAGTTTCTTTCGCAACAGCGGACACATTGAGTTGTAGCTTTTTTCTTTCTAGTTTTCTCTTTACATGACCTAATGACATCTTTTACACTTCCTTAGTTGCCTGCCCTTTCTTCTAAAGGTCATGAACCCTCTTTTATTTCCCCTGAGTTCCAGCAAAAGTTTCTTGTTGGTGAGGCTTCCCTAACAGTTCATCTCTCAGCACATAGGGACATTTCACTTCTGCATCTATAAGATTTTCTTCTTAAATCATGTCCAGCCTTCCTGGACCTCTTTATTTCCCAGCAGACTTTCTGAACAGGCTGAAGTCCACCCTCCAGAAGTCCAAGGCAGATGTTTTGTTCCTAACTTCACTGTTCCTTACTTCACCAAGAATTAAAAACTCTATCACTATGTCCAAGATGGACATTCTGACCACCACATCTCTCACCAATCCCTTCTCTATTCACAAAGAGCAGGTCTAGTGGAATTTCAGCCCTGGAAGGCTCCCTTGCCAGCTGTGACAGGAAATTCCACATACTCCAAGAACCTCCTAGACTGCTTCCTCTCTGCTGCGTTGAGTTTCCAGCAGACATCTAGCCAGTTAAAATCTCCCAAAAGAGCAAGAACAGCTAATTGGGAAATGCCAGTCAGCCACCTATACGATGCTTCATCCACCTCTTCATCGTGGTTGAGTGGTGTGTAATAGACTCTCACCAGGACATCTGCCTTGTTAGCTGCCCCTGAACCTTGGGCACTCAAACTGTCCTTGAGCTGTATACAGCTGAAACACTCCGTAATATACAGAGCCACCCTATCACCTCCTCTTCCTCGCCTGACCCTTCAGAAGAGCTTCTAAACATACACAGCAGCACTCCAGTCAAACAGGTCACAAATGTTTCTGTAATGGTGACTTGTCTCACAGCTTTTCTACTGCAGAATGGCCTCCAGTTCCTCCTGTTTGTTATCCTTACTGGAGTTTGTTATCCTTACTGGAGTTGCATTATCAATTTCAACCCTGACACTGGTGTACTGCCCTCGGGCTCATCTTTAGTGAGTGAGGTCTTATCCCCTCCTCCCTTCAAACCTAGTTTACAGCACTCTCAATCAACCCTTCCAACTCACAACCTAGAAGCATTTTTCCTCTTTTGGATGTTACAAGACTGTCAGCAAAAGTCTGATTTTTCCCTCTTTTCCAACTCAATGCCACTCCCATTTTAACCATTAGAAGTTCCTGGTACATCAAGGGATTCTTCGTTGCCAAACTCTCTACATGAAGTCAAGACATAAGAGAATTCCTGAGGATGTAGAGTGATTCCAAGGAGCAGTGGGGTGGGCACACCATAACACAGTATCCATACAGAATTAATTTAAATACCTGATCTTTGACTTCAAAATCATCACCACTGCTTGAATAATCAAGGAACAAGTTACTTGTGCTAGACAAAGTGCCCCGGAAACTCTGCCCCAGGAATTACAGGTGTGAATGAATGTAACACAAGAGACCATCGTTTTCTACTGCTGTCGTTTTTTTAAACAAGGAGACATTAACTTCAGGTAAAGAATACTGACATCTTGTGGCTGGATGAAATATTGCAAAGAATGCTGCTCATAACCATTCTAATTTATGTTTAGAAGAGCATGTTGCCGTTTTTTAAGAAAAGCTATGTACAATCTTTTGCATGTATTTTCCAGTGGATACAAGTGCAGAGTTCTACAATCTGCTGGTCTCTTGAAAAGCCCTAAAAGTTAAAGGAAAAAAAGAAGCCTTGTTTTATAATTTTGCTGCTGTTAATGAAGATGCAATTGTTACTGAAGCTAGAGTTACGGTTTATTTTAAGGTAGTCTTTGGTCAGTTAGTCTCGCTCCTGGATGACTGCAAGTCTCTGTGCCCACCCGCCCTGAGACTCCTCCTCTCACAGGTGGTTCAGTCCTTGTGATACTTCCACATACATGTCTCATCATATGGCATTCTTATAGCATATTTAACATTTTACTTATACCCGTCAGGGTCGTTTTTCTGATCACAATTGTTAATCAGTTGTTTCAAGAGGATTTGTTCAAGAGGCTTTCTGGTGAGTAGGTGATTGCTGCAGAAGGCATGTTGAGTATTTGATTTTGAGAATGGATTGCAAACAACAGAAATTGATGCAAACACACATTTGATGTTAATGGAGTCAATTAACTTAAGTATTGACACCCTGGAAGTAACAGATTGTGACAACAAAATATTCTTTTCTTCTGATGCTGTTTTAAGATTGACTATCTATAGAAATTATATTTAGTTCTGTTTGAAGTAATTTAGTTTCCATTTCCTTTCTATTACAAAGATAGAATTAACAGTATATAGATATTTGTCTTTACCAGGAACAAGTGATCCATATGTCAAGTTCAAACTTGGAGGAAAAGAAGTATTTAGAAGTAAAACAGTACACAAGAACCTCAATCCTGTGTGGGAAGAAAAAGCTTACATTCTTATAGATAACCTAAGAGAACCATTGTATATAAAGGTAAGACACCAGCTTATGTATGTCTGATAAATTTGAACAGAAGAATTATTGGAAGAATTCAGGTTTTGTGATTTTCTGTATACTGGAAAATGTATTGTGCAATAGTGAAGACTAAAAACTATTTAGCATGAAAATTATTTAAGTTTTGTCTGTAGAATGATGATGTCAACATTTTAAAAAGGGGCGAATACAGGCATTTTTGTTTATTTCAGGTCATAGTTGTTTTATATTTATTTAGTGTGATTTTAGCAGAAGAACCGAGAAAGAAAACTATATTTCATTACCCATTTTATTTATGGAAATATCACTGCATAATGATGATATGAAACATAATCTGCCCCATTAAAAACAATTCAACGTTGAGGTCAACTTTTGAGAATTTGTTGAGATGTGTACTTGATTCTCCAGAATTTTCTAATTTTTCTGTTTCCATGGAACATAGTGAGTTTGCTTCTGTGTTTCATACTGTTTTTTTGCTCTTGCAATTTTTACGTGGCAGCTCTCCCTAGTAAATCACAGGCGAGGATGAGTTTGTCATATTAAAGGCACCAATTATTCTGAAATAAGAGATTGCTTGAGTTGAGATCAAAAAGTGGCCAGCAATGTCCTGACTAGTAAGCAGCAGTGCCACTAGTGTTTCTTAGATGTTGGTATTGGAATGAAAATCAGAAAAAGTGTGATGATTGTTTTGTGCCCACAGAAGAGAAAGGTGGTTTTCTGACCTTGGTAGTTTATGGTGATCTATATGCAAAAGTGATTGTTAGTTGTGTAAAACAAAGTAGATAAAATTATGTTCCCAAAAATGTATTTAGAAAAACTGTAGTCCTAGGATTCAAAATAATACATGCATACATTGAAAATACTTTGGGAAGTATGGAAACTTGAGTTACCTATATAATCCTCTTAGATGATCTGAAATTACATGATGTTTTTAGATCAGTATCATTCTTAATCTAAAATTCATTACAGAAATTAACTGAAATGTCAAATTGTAGGTTTGGTTTTTTTAGTAGTGCAATGCCACTTGAACATCTTCTAAGTGTTAATCAGTATTATGTTTCATGCTGCTCACATCATTACTAGAAAAGCTTAAAAGCTAAACAGAAACCTCAAATGGCATTTTCCTTCCTTTATTATGTTTGGTGACTCATAAGGAATTAACAGGTGAAGGAGAGAGGGAGATGCAAAGGCTTGCAACGTAGCCACCTGTTTTAGTTTATTTATGCCAAGTATCAGCCCTGCAGTAGGGTGTGTATGTTATTCCCCTAGGAAAAGTGTGCCAAGTGGTATGTCTATCATGGCTATACTCTGAACACAGTGTGTGAAGTATTTTAGGTTTTACAGCTTATTCAGATATTTTAAGACATGGTTGAATTTTACTAAGCTAAAAATACTTGGTATTTTTACCATGATAAATTGTAGAGGGGGAGAAAGGGAGAAAACAGTTTTGACATTGCACCATGAACTGAGATTTCATAATTTGTTTTCTTTCCCCACTGGAATGACTAACAGATACAGAAAATGCAATCTACTCAGGTAGATTGATGCATGTGAGAGACTTGTGCTCACATACTTGTATCCAACGCATTGAGTTGTGCAGCTGTGCTGTAGCCTTTGGGCCAAAGGATTTCTGTTTCTACTGTCCTAATTAATGTATGAAGAAGATTATTATGTTGAAGATTAATTGTTTTGCCTTCTGGAATAGTTTCTGTAGTACAATAGTAGAAGTACTTACATTAGAGTTGAAGACCTTGAACCTAGTCCTGTCATATTCTCAATTTTTCTCTTTTCTCCTTACAAGTTATTAACACATCTCACTCTTACTTAGCTGAAGATATGTTCTAGTAATCAGAAAACCTCATGTTTACTCAAAAAAAAGTTAATTTACCTTAAAAGTTGATTTTGGTAATTGATCTTTTCCCTTTTTTTGATTTTTTAATTTGTGTTGCATTTTTCATTTGTTGCTGTCCATCTTTTTTGTTTATTTCCCTGCAATAGCTGCCCCTGGATTATTTGTTATTCATTCTTCAGACTTAGGAAGTTATAACCCATCTCAAGTAATACCTTCTGATGTACTGGCCAGATTAATGTCTGGATGTCAGTAAATTTATCAAGGTATTTTCTGGTTTAGGTAGCAAGTTAAAAGGCAGAGTTCTGGTAAAGTATTAATTGCCATTGTTTCCCTATTCATACCCCTTCAGTTTTAATCTAGATTGTAATGTTTCTAACCCTTGAAAGTTGCATAGCCTTCAAAAGCTACAATTATATTTTTTCAAATACTGATGCAACTGTTATAATAAAAGTAGAAGCACTTTTCATAACCATATCCTGCCCTCCTGCTTCCTTATGAATCCTTACTTTGCAGAATTCATAAAGGAATCAATGTATAAGAAATCAGTGATTCTTCTTAACTTGATTTATTGTTTTGATTTTCCTTCTTTCAGTGCCTATGTTTATAAAAATATTTCTTTTTTTAAAGTTACTGTCGTTCACATGCATAGTCTAATAGTAGTATACACCAGTGTCTCTATATGATGAAGTCTGATTTATAAACAAGCAGTTTCAGAGTTGATTCTCTGGTCAGAAAGTTTCAGGTTACTTTCAGGTAGTCCTGATTCAAGAAGTGAGAGACGAAGCTACAGCTCTGGAAAAAGAGTTTGAAGAATGATTTGTAGTCAGAAAAGCTCTAAAGAAAGAAACATTTCTAGTACTAAAAAATGCTCCTGTGCATCATAGGTATTTGATTATGACTTTGGACTTCAAGATGACTTCATTGGTTCAGCATTTTTGGATCTCACGTCCCTGGAATTAAACAGGTATGGCACAAACAAGCCTATGGAATATATATATATATATTTTATCTGCTAATAAAAATGTTTGTGGAGTTGTAAGTAAAACTTCATGCTAGAAAATAATTATAGAAACCTACACTAGCATAGTGTAGGTTTTTATAATTATAATTAGCGTATAATTCTATAATTATAGAAATCTACATAGCAAACTACATTAGCATAAAACTAACTAAAGAAAACCACTTATGTTTTAAAAACTATTGTATTATTAATACAATTAATTGTATGAATACAATTAATTTATTAGCTGATTATGCACGTTTTCACAGTGTCTATGGAGAGGTTTGCTTTACAACCATGTTAATCTTGTTTTCATATTAGCTTCATTCACAGCATCACCCCCTAATGTTTGAAATTTTTTTGTGTTTTTTAACCCATTAATGTTACATTTTTGATTTAATTACTTCAGTACATGTAATACAGTACTTAGTGCAGAGTAAAAATATTTTGTATTTTTTATGAGCATTCAGCAGAAATACTTATAAGTAGACTTAGGGCAAATTTGTGCCACTGTTTTCTAAGTAGCTTCACATTAATTCAGATGCTTTCAATTCTTATGATTGAGAAGTTTCATTATCTAAGAGTCTGAAATCCAAGTAAATGCATAGATTTTATTTCCTAGGCAAACAGATGTTACCTTGAGTCTGAAGGATCCTCATTACCCTGACCATGATCTGGGAAGTATATTCCTGACAGTTCTGTTGGCTCCAGGAGACCAGCGAGAAGTGGTAATTTTAAGTATTTTAATAAATGTCATCACTCCTGTGATTGAGGTCTTGTTGAATGACATAAAGCTCAAGAGTAAATATCAAATTATAAGATTAATTTGACTTTTCTAATTCTTAAGATAACACTGAACGATATTTCTGGTACAGTATAGCATATTTCACCTGAGTTGAATCCTCCCTTACATAGTTAGTAAGAAGGAATTCAGATGGATCAAGTAAAGTCAGCTGTAGGTGAATAGTGCTGATTAATATGGAGAAACATCAGTAAACCATTGGTTAAAGAATTTTGTACCTAGTCTGCTATTTCTAAATAAGAGATTTGAATCCTATTCCATATGAAAAATAAAGTTGAAAAAGGTAGTGTTTCTGCTTTTTGGCAACTAATGTTAAAGGATTATTTTTAATTCAATTTTTTAAATTTACAGTTCAATTACAAGATAGTATAATTTTCTAAGTTTATTGTAATTCCTTCATCAGTCTTACTTTTCTGAGCTGTGCAATTTTAAGTGAAAATAGTTTCCAGGTTTCTAGATACTCTTAGTTGTGACAAACTCTTTCTATTATAATTGCCTTGGTTTGAAAAGACAGGTGTCTGCTAAGTAAGGTAGAAGTCTCCCTTGAAAAGAAAAAAGCAAACCCCCTCCCTCCAAATTATTATAATTTTGAAATTAAGGGGCTCTCAGGCAAAGATATGGGAGTAAGAATAACAGTTCTTTATTAGGGAAAAAAAATTAAAAGAAAATATAAAAGTATAAAAAATGCAGTAGTACAAAACAACACTGACAGAGTCAGAATACGATCTGACACCCTGTGGGTCAGGGTGTTGGTAGCAGTCTGATTGAATGGTGGCTGCAGACCTCCTGGAGTGACAGGTTCTGTTGAAGCAGTGATCCTGTAGAAGGGTGTAGTTTTCTTCTGAAGGTCCAGTGGTGGTGTAGATGGGCCTGGTCTTCCTCTGGGAATCCAGTGGAAAAGAAAGGTGCTCCTCTGGGAGTCCAGTGGGAAAAGGCTGCCTGTGGTGTTCCAAAACTCAGATTATATCTAGGTAGGAATGCTTGGCTTTTCCCCCAGCGGTGGAGCATCTCCCAATGGGATAATGTAATTTTATCAGTCATGCAGGGACACTCAATGGCCTATTAACAGAAGATGTCTCCCCTGAAGGAGGATGGTTTCTGGAAGAGATAAAGAAAACTGCCCCACCCGGTTTTAACAGGTGGCCCAATTAACAGAAGATAACTGTCCCAGCTCTAACAGATGGCAATGGAGTACACACCCCTGGTCACATCTTACATTTTCCAACCTAGGACAATAATTTACTAGCATCTGTGACTGTTGACGAGCAGTAGAAGCAGAACTATGGCAGAAATAGAAGAGATTATTCTCACTATGAGAGGTTGTAAAATAATATGGATTCCTTTGGCCTCAGCTAGACTGTAGGGAAGCATTTGGATCTTGCAGCTAAATTTTGCTTTAACCATCTTGTTTTCAATTAAAGGAAAAAACTCTACTAAGCAATGGAACCTGTGGAAGTGGAACAGTGTTTTGTTGGATTTTTTAATGCCAGTCTCTTTCATGTACTATGAGCCACCACTGTGCAGCCACAAAACTCAGTTTACTCACAAACTTTGTCCAGGCACTCAAACACAGAGACATATGCACTCAACCCTCCCCCGCACCTGCAAAACAGCTAGATTTCCAGAATCTCCCAGGAAGAAGACTGTTCTTCATGCCCAGAACTCATGCAGGAGGTATTGGGGCATTTACCAGAAGAGCCAGGATTATAACCCCCCAGTTTTTGTGGGCCTCCTCCTCTGATGGACTGTACATCACAACCATGGGCCAAAATCACCCACACATCACAGAAGCCATGGATGGTGGTATCTTTCTCTTCTACTGCCTCTTTTTCTTTCTTTTTCTCTTTTGAATTTTCTGCTCTTAAGATGATCAAACACTCTAAGACAGCTAGAGATGCCTTTTCCAATGTTACACAGGTTTTCCCCCCCTAAATTATGGTTTTAAAGCACTTATTCCAATAAATTTTTTGTTACATTGCTTATTTAACATAGTTTTGGTTTACCCACCCGTAAGGATCCGTTAACAATGAGCGTGTTTGCCCTGCCTCAGGTTTGCAGCAGAGGCCAAGAAAAAGCATTACTCTGATGAAAATATTCATGGATATGGTCAGCTGCAAGGTTTTTGTAAGAACATATATGTTTCTGTATGTTGCAGAGACATGCTGTTGCATACCTGTGGAGTACTGGCAGATTCTACTAGTGTTCTTTTTACCCTTTTCTCACAGGTAGTATTAAATAGCCTAGTAAGTCAGTTACTGGAACTAACTGTCTGGTATGTAGTAATGCAAAGATGTAGAAATTTGGAAATTATTTTATCCTCTGTTAATTTTCCTCATGGCGTTCTGCTGGCATTTAATAAAAATAATGAGATATGGTGGTTATGTGCATCTAGCTTATATAAGGAGTGTAATTTTCTTTTTTTTTTAGCAACACATTTGTCCATAAAGCTCAGAATTCCAATGTCTTGCAAATTTACACCACAAGAGTCTTTGTTTCTTAAATTAAGAAATTAATTTTTTTTTTCTGTTTGGGTAAGACCAGTCAGGTCTGAGTCAGGTTGCCCCGTTTTTACAAGTTGTTTTGACACTATCCTGCCATAACCCTAAATCATGCAACACAGAAACACTGTATTTTTATGTGGCATACCATTATGTGGACAGCACAAGTTTCCTTTCTTCATCATACAGAGAGGGTAGCTACTGTGCTGCCTCCTGTTGTCTGCTATTATATCAAGTGTTCCAGAAGTTTAGAGGTGAGAAAGTGAAATGAAGACTCTACAGTGTAACAAGTTTTTCATATGGGTGTTCATAAATTAGCAACTGAATGTTGAAAGTGTTGGGAGACTGTTGCTGAGAGTTGCTGGTTAGCAAATTTTTTGATATCCAACTGACTGGTTATAATAGGATGAAGAATTGGGTTTATGTTATTACACATTTCATTATTAGCTTTTTTAATTTAACTCAAGTCACCAAATTTTCTTCCCATTTAAACTATTATATAGAACTTGTCTGAAAATGCCCAAGATTCCAATTAAGAATCAGATGCCTAATCTGAAGCTTAATATTTATTGGAAACCAGTCTTCCCAAGATATGGATCACAGAGCAGTTCTGGTGAAGTTGCAATAAAATCGGAGAATTTGTGTCACAATGCAGGGAAGATGACCTACAAAATTAATATGTAATTGATGTATGTTTAATGTATTAAGGGTTTAATAGTTCAAGACTCAATTAGCTTTTTCCAGTTATTACATGTACTTATTAGCTTTTATTTACTCTTGAAGGAGAGGTATATTACAAAATCTATGGCTCCAGTTGAACTGTCATCTTTGGCTAGTTTTGAAAGGTTTGGTAATAATGCAAACATTTTTATTGAAATGAAAGGGATTGAGGTCAATATATTTTCAAATGTTATTTTAGAAGATTAAGACTAATTCTTGTCTACTCTTAAAAATGTACAAGATATAAAGCAGCACTAAAAGCAACTCCCACATTCCAAGTCTGTGTAGCACACTATTTGATTGATGCTCCCCTTCTACTTGGATATCTCTATACAGGTAGTAATTTGAGTGTCCTTGAAATATATAGATAAAAACCTGAGCACTTTTAAGTGTGCATTAATGACTGATGTGTGGAAGACACAGATACACTGTCTCTTCACATCATGTGCAGTGTTTTCCTGTCATTGCAAATTTCCTTAAATCCTGTTGGTTTGATATCCCTACGTAGCGTACATTTCAAAAATTAATTTTCTCCTGAATAGGTTTTGTTTTGCTCAGGTGATAACTCTTACATTGCTTGCAATTGAGAGTTGCAAGTAATTTTGTAATTAGGGTAATACTTTACCACTTTACATAACGTGTGTGTTGTTACACATAAATGATGTTAAATTGTAAAGCTGAAGATTACAGAAATTGTGTGGAAGTACTTAAATTGCAGTTACTATAATTCCATATGTTTAAAATGAGAGTGTTTATTAAGACCATGGAGGAAATACAAAAATAGAACAGCTTTAAAAAAAGAAGTGTTAGATTTCCCATACAACACTCATATGGTGTTTTGATCCTGTATTTTGGGCAGGTCTCTAGCCATTTTCAAATTGAGCTCTTTAAAACAAGACTTGCTGTTTGTGATGTGTGTTGTTTGGTAACTTTTTGATGTGGATTATACTTTCCAAAGAGATCCTTTCACTGCCTGAACTGCAGCGAGGCTGTGTTGGAGGTCATGCACTGATGTGCAGGTAAAGGAAAAGTCTTCTGAGGATGTGTTTTTGGAGGACAGGTCTCACAAAGCATTTTATTGGTGTTTCAAAATAATGTGGCAGTATGTTACAGGAAAATGCATCCTCTTACACTGCCTAAGAAATATTGATGCTTCTGGACGATAAAATATTCCAAGTGCAAGTTTGAAATTAAATGGGACAAATTCAGAGGCCTAGTATATTGTCTGTGAGAGAGGTATTGTTGCAAATTATTTTGAAAATAAGCAGCCAATTTGACACAGTAATAGATTGTTTTGGATGAAAACTTGAGGTGTGAAAAGAAGTGATGAGGTATTTGGTCCATTTGAGAGCATTTTTTTCCTTATCTTTCTGAAAAAAATTCTGATGAAATTAATATTTTATATGTAATGACTGATGACATGATCTTGAGAGTACAGCTGGAAAGCCCCATGTCCTCAGATCAAAATGTTACATTTTGGGATTCAGATATCAATTAAAAATATTAACATAAATATACAATCATATAGCTGTATGTAAAACTGTTACACTGACTAGGAAAGAGGATTATTTATTTTTGAGTCCTGATGAACTGTGAAAAGCAGTGCTTAAGTAGTTTAGAATTGTGGTTTTTCAGTAGAAGATATTGGACATAATTTCAATCATAAAGAGATTCAGTAAACCAGTTTAATAAATAAGGAGACGTTATTTTATTTTTGTGGTACATTTTATTTGAAGAAAATGCAGAAATAGCCTGCAGTTATTGAGTAGATAAACAAATCAAAATATTTTGAGTAGATAAACAAATCAAAATCTTGTCTGTATCTTTGCCATTTGCTACCTGGTGCTTGTCCTAAAGACATTAAAATCTGAATATTTAAAGTAATAATCTTGTAAAGGCTCTTCAAACTATGTACATATATAGAAGGATAGCATATCTAAAGTTATTAGAAGTCCTATTCTTTTGATTTTTGGCTTCTGAAGTAAATTTATTTGTTGAGATTTATGAAAAATCATTAATCATGAATCAAAATTGATTAATGAATTATTTCTATACGACTATAAAAATTAGAAAGTTTTTAGTGTTCAAGGGAAGTTTAATCTATTTCCAGCCTAATGCAATAAGTTGAAGTAGCACTAGTTCCACCAATTAATTTGTGTTTGCTTTGTCCTGTTTAGCGCTACTCGTCCTTTACATTAATGCCTCATTTCAGTTTTACTGTTTGGGAGCACAGATATCTTAGCTAACCAGTGCAAACTAAAAAGATGTAAAATAAATAAATATGAGAAAAGTATGTCTATATAAAAATGTTGAAACCTGTTAGCTCTAAAGATTTGTTACTTTTAACTTTATTAATAAAAATAATGAGGTTATGATGTAGTTTCTGTATTTTTCATTAACTTCTTCTTTTGATGACCAGTTTAAAAGAAGTCAAAAGTAGCAATTGATATTTTTTCTTAGACAAAGCTTGTCTTGTTACTTTAATTCTGACAGTGTTTAATTACTTTTGGATACATGTGGTGCTGTGTGTGACAGTGTGCTGTTTGTGATTTCATGCATGTGTACAGGCTTCCAGGACATTCTGTCTGGTGTTCTAGTCATGGATGCCACAATGCATGTGAGTTTTTCTGGCTCTTTTTCCATCAGCACTCAGTACACAGATTCCACCACTGGAAAACCTGCAGTAAGCAAGTTCTTCAGCGCTGCATGGCACCCATTTCTTCACTACCACAGCTGTCTTAATTGGCAGTTTTCAGCTATGGGAAATGACAAAGTTGATAGCTTGATAAGAAGCCTTGCTGGGGACCAGCAGTGACTGGGGACATCTGTTCAACACTGCCAGCAATGTAACAAACTAAGAAAATGGAAAAAAAGGAAACATACAAGTTCTACTTGGATATTGTTATTTATTGAGATTAAAGTTCAAGGCATTGGTTTTTTCCTAGAACAATCTATCTCAAATGATGCTTAGTTTTTTTTGCTTAATATAGAACTATTAACATTAATGTGCTGTCTGTTTGCTTGCTGTCTTAAATAATATCGTGCATTATTTATTTATTTGCCAGAGGGACATTAATATAATAGAGAAAAACTCCAGAAATAGACTCAAAGAATGGAATATTTTCAGATTGATAAATACCATGTAGATCATCCATGCTGATCTGCCCTATATTTATTTCTTTGGCTTTTAAGGATAGTTGTTACGGCTTCTGCTTATCCTGTTTTAGCTGATAATGATGCCATTTACTCAGTAAGGGTGGTCATACCTTTCTGTAGCTACTACACAAACTGAACTACTCAGAGTTGAAAGAGTCATAGAGTGGTTTGGTTTGGAAGAGACTTTCAAGATCATTTAGTTCCACTCAACCTCTTGCCCTAGATCAGGTTGCTCAGGGCCCCATCCAACCTGGCCAGGAACACTTGCGGGAATAGTGCAGCCACAACTTCCTTGGCTAACAAATTCCAATGCCTCACCACCCTCACAGAGAAGAATTTCTTCCTGGTATCTAATCTAAACCTGTGTAGTTAATTCAGCTGTCAGGACTCCCTCTGTTCCTTGCTCACATCTTGGTCTGAAGCACAGTGAAGTTGCATTTGTGCTCTGACCGATAGCTGTGTAGGATTCAGAAATGACAAGGAAGGGAGGGGCTGTGCTGTGTTGAACAGGACCCAGGAACTCAGATTTTCTTCGTGAGCCTCAAGCTGTTAAATTCTTACATGCCTCTTTAGAAAAATTAGTTAAATGGCATTCTCTAGCTTAATAAAACATTTAGTATCTTTTCCAAAGCCATGGTGCTACAATTATTATTAACTTACTGCATAGTGCTTGGGATTTAACTGTCCATAGCAATTAAAAAAGTTTCCTCAGTGGCCAGTTATTGTTCTTCTTACAAAAAGCTATGTCTATTTGAAAAATTCTGGGTATTTCAGAAATAAAACCCCACACACATTTTCTCTCATTTTAATTTTTTGAACCAAAATATAATTGAATTTCTTAGCAAGGAAAATATTTTAATTTCAAAATTTATTTCAATTATCTGAAAAAGCAAGTGTTTTTGAAATAGTTAATAAAAAATTAAAATTATGTTTGTTTTTTATGGCAAAAGTCTCAGTAGAAATTAATGGCCTTTGATTTATTTCTGCATGGTCTCAGTAACAGGCTGCTAAACCTTATTAAGTTGTGTAAACTAATTTCTTTGCATTTCCACAGAAACGCTTTAAGCAACAGTTGTGTTTACAGAAACGCTTTAAGCAACAGTTGTGTTTACAGATAAACCTTCCACAAAGTACTTGACTAGAATGTCTCTTTTATGGTTAGGAATCTGTCATGGGTATTTTGGCTCCTAGCAGTGCCAAGGTTTTACAGATTGTTTAGGTAATGGGACAGGGAAACTGAGATTTGGTTTTTTAAAGGAGTTAATTTTTTCTATTTCATGTATGTAATTATCAAACCAAAGAACTATTTTTACTGCTGTGAAATGAACAAGCAGTGATTACTTTAAGGATGTTATAATAGATTCATGTCATCAAAAGATTCTCATGCAGGTTTTCTCTTTTGTGGCTACACCTGTGAGTAAATCAGTACTATTCAAAAAAGTTGTAGTACTTATTATTAAGATTTAATAAATAAATATTCAAATATCAGTCAGAATTGAAATCACTATCTATCATGGCATAATTATTTATTTTCATTTTTTAATCCAGTTCTTTCTCTCTTTTCTGTTTTTTCTTTCTTACAAGATTGTGTCCAAAAATGACACACTCATACCACCCAGAAAAGTATGCCTGGGTATGCACAGGGCTGCTACTTGTCTGGATTTATTTCAGTCTTGTGTGTATCTGTTACTGGAGTGTACATGCTGCTGCTTCAGTCGTAGTGGTGGTTAAATGTGAATTGTCCTGTTTGAGGCTGTTGGCCTCCTTTTCTGTATTGCAGAGAAAAGGTAATAAAAATCCTCTATTTTATTTTCAGACAATGCTGATGAGGAAGAGTTGGAAAAGATCAAGTAAGGTAACTTCGTAACTTTTAGCATGTGGTCTTCTAGCTGGTGGCATTGGTTTTTTGTTTGTTTTTTTTAGAACAACTATGATTTCTTCCAAGCATGCCATATAGGACTGGAAACTTCTGGCACAGGATGTATTGCCCTTCCAAATGTGTTTTAATGACAGTGTTTTTTGTTTCACTAAATAAACATCATGGTATAGTTCAGCTTTTAATATAATCATGAAACCTTTCATCTTTGTCACAGCACTTTAACCTATCTGGAAGCCATCTAGTGACTTCTTATAAGCGGCCAACATGTCCTGATTCTATTTCTAAAACTTTTAATTTCTCAAGTGTAAACAATTTCCTGTTTTAATGTGAACAAAGAATTCATGCCAAAGAGTATATTTTATTTTCCTGTTATGTACTTCTCTTACTGATCTGTGTTTTTGTGTGCAAAGTTTTCACAGTGAAGTTTCTTGAAGACAAATTTCCCTTATCACTGGTTGTGTACAAGTGGCAGTCATAGCCAGGCCATAGTGGACTCCACTTCATAGAGCTCTTTAGAGCTCTTCAGGCTTTTCCCCTCTTAGGAGTTATGGATGTGATAAAAATGGAGCACTGTGTGCGGTTTTCTACAAGAGAAAGACTGAGAATTTGACTGAAAGTAATGGATTTTTTTACCTTTTTTCCAATTTTTTACCCTTTTTCTTCCATCTGAATTGATAAAACCAGTGTATTTACTGCCTAAAGCGAGTCGATTAAAATTTTGCAGAGACCTGAGCTAGTGAGGTTGATAGTCTTTACCGTGTAAAGGTGTTAAGATAAGGAAAAAAAATAACTGTGTGGGGTGATTCACTGATTTTGTTAAATGATTTACTCTTCTAGCATATTGACGCACAACTTTAAATAGGAGGTTATTAGTCAACAGTGTAGTATATGGTGCTCATTCGACAAATATTTGCACTTTTTTAGACCTATTTGTATTTTCAACCTTAAAACATAAAAGAGAGCAGTGTTCATCATTCTTGGGTTATGGATGGGTTTTTCACACAGTCTGCTTATGGGATGCAGGATAATACTCAGTCTGTTTCCTTTGTGAAGTTTATAAAACTAAGATAATGGTGAAGTGATATGTAGATTTTTTATTCTCATGTGGTTCATGTAATTATGAGAAATATCTAAGATGCTCAAAGAAGAGATAAGGAAGCTGTGAGAATACTGAGGGGTAGAACTGGTTTGCATCATGTAAGTGATGCGTTAACTCCCAATGTGCTGACTATTTTGGGTAGCATGTTGTTTGCATTGCAAACTGACAAAACTGTGAGCTTCCATAATTCTGAATGAACAGCACAGTGTGAGAGCTGGGAATTCTTTAAAGATCTTCAAGTGAGTTATTTATCCCTGTTCTGCTTTGTTACATTCATTGGATAGCATTTTATTCAGTAGTTGGCATTTTTGCAAACTGGCATATAAGAATATTTTGCAAAAAGTGAATGTATGGTTTAAACATTGCATTTTTTTCTATGGTTGTCTTAGCTGAAGTAGTATTTTAACCTAGAGGTGTAATGCATGTACAATATCTTACATGCATTGTTGTCTTAATGATTTATATATAGAAGTACGTCAGTTAAAACACAGGAGATAATTTGCCTTGTGAGTCTATTCCAGCATTCCAAATCTTTGATCTGCTCTCAGCAAACCAAATTAAAAAATCTTCTGTTTTGAAAGAATTAATTCAAAAGACTTATTCTCTGAGGTATAGGGTAATCAATATTAAAGAAGGCTCTTATTTCATTTGCAGATTAAAAAAAAAAAGGTGTCTAAAAGTAGGTACATAATTCTGTTAGGTAATAGAGAAAGCGTTCTTTTTGAGATCGTTCTTCATCAGGAAGTGTTTGTCTTGTGATTCTGAGAGCTGAGAAAAAAGCTGACTATTAGAATTTTTTAAAGATACCATTATAAAATTTCCTAAAGCTAATTTTGGGTCTGTCTAGACTCTATATACACCTCTAATAGATTAATTTATTTTTACAAGTTATCGTACTGTTCTTTGCTTTTTAAAGTTTGTCCTTGAAGCCTACATTTTTTTGTAAGATAGGTAGCTTGAAGTTAAGGTGTAGCAAGGCAGATCACTATGGTGTGGCTTGTATTCATGAACTTCATGCCTAGCTCATGTTTTCCTACATGACTATAACTGTTCAAACAAAGCTATTTCAGTGAAGACAATACCTTTTAGCCAAAGCATATGGAGAGAGAGCTCTGTCAGAAACATCCATTTCACTGAAAATTGCTTTCTTCTGAATAAGAGTCTACTTTTTCCATTTTCACATCTGTGGGAGAACTGCTGTTTGAACATGATCAGACACCATGTTAAATTTCTTAGACTGACTCATTAAGGAAACACCAGGAAAACTTTGTAAATGCTTTAATTTGTCTGATTAAACAAGTGGTTTAGCAGTTTTAGCCAGCGTATTATGGGAAAAATATATGTAAAATTTATCTGCTATGCCCTCTCAAGTAACATCATCCCAGTAAAGCCTGGAGGAAAAGGTAATATGTCTTCTCTTATATCCTTTCTTATGTTTCATAACTTCAATGGTAGCTTAGAACTGAGACCACTAGAAAGTACTAAAATATAACAATACTGTAATTTATACTATTAATATGTGATGATTGTTTCTGAGTGACATGAATCAATTAGAATGAAATGTCCATTCTTGCCAGAAATGAAGATAAATTAGTGTGTTTTGTAACATGTATAAACCAAGATAAAAATACATTGTCATCTCAAAGTCATCAAATCACAGTGTGGTTTGGGTTGCAAGGTGATGCGGTTCGTTCTGGGGGGGGCACCCTGGGGAGTCATTGGAGGGCCCCTTAGGCTGTGAGTTGGCTGGCAGCAGCAGGCAGGCAAGGAGACTCCACATGGCTTCTGAGGGAGCTGATTAGATGAGAGTTTATTGGGGGTCCCACCCCTGGGAACAGCATGGTTACTGAGGGGGGAAGGGTGGAAGGGGGAGGGAGGGGGAGAGGGAAAGGGCATGGGGGAGGCACAAGATGGGAGAAAAAGCAGGCAAGAGAGGAGAAAGGCTAAGAGAGCGACTGGTCTCGCTTGCACGGTTTAAGAGGGAGAATGAAAACGGGCACGGAATCAGACTTGTGCCAATGGGATTACAGATACAGGATGGTTGAGGGCAGGACCACAGGCTTGGGATATACCATACATTTTGGAGGGGTGAGACAGGGCATACCAGTTGAATAAAATGCAATACTACAGCAGGGGACCTCAAAGGCCATCTAGTTCAACCCCTGTGCCGGGACACATCCCATTTTACCAGGTTGCTCAGAGCCTCATCCAATATGGCCTTGAATACTTCCAGGGGTGGGGCATCCACAGCTTTTCCGAACAACCTGCTCCAGTGCCTCAGTGCCCTCACAGTCAAAAATTTCATCCTAATACTCAGTCTCAAGCTACCTTCTGTCAGTTTGGAGCTATTCTTCCTTGTCCTGTCGCTGCATTCTCTTGTCAAAAGTGTCTCTTCAGCTCTTTTGTAGCCCCTTTGGGTACTGGAAAGGGCTCTAAGCTCTCTCCAGATGCTTCTCCATGCTGAACAACCTCAGCTGTCACAGTCTGTCTTTTCCAAGCATCTGACCATCTTTGTGGCCTGCTCCGTACCCAGTCCAATAGGTCCATGTCCTTATATTGAGAATCTCAGAGCTGGATCCAGTACTTCAGCTGGGGTCACAACAGAGGAGAACAGAGTACAGGATTAGAATCACCTCCTTTGACCTGCTGACCATACTTCCTTCAGTGCAGCCCAGAGGGTCATCTGTGTCTTGGGGTGCAGCTGTGCATGAGAAGGTCATGTTGAGCTGCTTATCCACAACACCCCTCAAGACCTCCTCAGGTCTGCTCTCATTCCATTCTCTGCTGAGCCTAAAACTGTGCTTGCCTTAGCCCTGACCAAGGCACAGAATGTTTCACTTTGCTTTGTTGAACTCCATGAGATTTTTATGGGCCCCCTCAGTCACAATTGAGAAGCTACTTCTGATTAGTTGCACTTGGGGATGAAAGAGTATATTTACTGCCTAAAGCAAGCGAATGAAAGTGTTTTTTCTTTGCATTTAGTTAACTATATTTCCTTTAATTCCTCTTTAGAAACTTTTGCTCATACTTTTAAACTGAAAAATACAACTTATGAACATTTTAAACAAGAATGAATTGTTAATTTAGTGGCTTTTAGCAGCTGTAAATAGTGCTTGAAGGAAAACAACTATAAATAAAAAAATAATGGAAATAAAAACCAGTCAGAATAGATAGGCCTGTTTGGTAGACATCTAATTATAAAAATCATACAAATATTTGGTGAAGCTTATATTTGTATTAATTGTGTGTGAGTGATAACAGCTGATTCAGCTGAGAACAAAAACAGCAGAGTAGCATTTTGCCGTGGGGTTTTCATTCCTACATTTCCAAAAGTGTGGGAAGTTTCCATCAAGTATTGATTGCCACTCTTTTTTGTATCAGCTCCATATCGGCTTCGGGACTGTGGTGACGTTGGCTATCCCAGACAATAACAGGATCATCAGAAGACCTGTTGACTTTCATGTGTTGCAGCCACAATTTCCAAGGGGAGTTACTGGGACAAAGAATTGAGGTGGTTAGGACCATGTTGGCACCGCCTCTCTGCAAAGTGCTTCTGCACACTGTTGTCCGGTATAAATGGTTTCATCCTGTTACAGAATAGCAGTGAGTGCCACAGTCTGCATGATACTACACCTGAGCTGCATCCAGCAAGTACACTTAAGTAGGATGCCAAATTATTATTATTATTATTTGTGAAATGCTACAAAAGTCTGAGCTGTTATTACAAATATTGTGGTGTCACCATAGCATTGCTGTATAGAAGCAGTATTGGGTTGTTAGTGCAAACTCCATAAACCAGACTTAACGTGACAGTTAAAACACTCAGGGTATAGGGCAGTGTAAATTTCTCAACTGTAGAAATTTTTATTAGCTTCAC